TTTGGATATAACAACAATACAAATTGCTCGCACGTTAGTTACTGGATGTACACTCGTTTATAGGGCAACAGCGCGCGTACGGGCAGATTGCAAAAGTCACCCAGCTGGATGATATACCGTAGCACGTTTTCCAAACAGGCACTGATCGAATTCCATAGGCGGAGATCAGGGAGGCTTGGGATTCTAAACGTAGGTATTTTGAAAAGCACCAAATTTAAGTTTTAAGGTGTTTTTATATACCAAGTCTCCCCCCCCCCTGATCTCCGTCAAAGCTGAGTTACCATAGTTTGGCCGGAGACGGTCGAAACGACAAATAACCCGTTCATTATGTACGAGCAAAATAGTGTATACAAAACCACCTGCGTTACACACTCTATCGGGTCGCCACTTGTTTGGCTGCTCCTTAATGGGCCGATCCATTTGGTTGCAAAACCCTCCCAGCGCCTATAATCGTATCCATTACACGCGCCGTTGCGTGGGCTGAAGCGGCGGCTGTGGCGGTGCTCTCAATTATCATTAGACTCTCATTAAAATTCCTCTTGTCAAAACGTTTTGACCGACGTACGTCCGCGGCCGGTTTACGGTTGCCTGTGATGCAATTGTACGTATATACTTATTTTTTTGTTGATAACTTTGCCGTTACATTAATATATAGTATTATCGGAGCTACAAAAATTCGTATGTTGCAAAACACACCGAGTTGGTTATAGGTTAACCCGGGTTTCAGGCCATACAATTTTGTCGAAGGTAGCCCAAACCGTTTCCATCAATGTAAAAACAATTTTGAACATCCCTCCGGACTGCAGCAGCGTGCTTAAATGAGCCCGCCCCTAAGATAATAATGGTTTTTTTTCTTATTTATGAGCTCAATAATTTTATCTATAGATGATACACGGGGCCGTTTTAGACGAGTTGCGGTTACGGGTCGGCGTAGTGATTATTATGTTGTTTCGAGGAGTTCATACGTGCCTGATCGCAACGGACGTTAAAGATCAGTCTAGTTGGAGTTTATCCGCGTGTATGTAAAATAGTTAAAAGAGAAGTACAAATGTGTAAACGCCAAGCCAAAGTACTTGCTGTGCGGGTACGTTCGGGTTAGGTCGGGCAAGACGTGCAAAAATTCCTCGGTCGGCGCGGCGACACCGGCTGCCGTCGTTGACTAAGGACCGGTTCACGGCCGCACGAACAACCGGTTTTCATTGCCAATATATTATTATTATTATTACTACTATCGTTATTATTGTGCACGCGTCCGCTTCCAACCCCTTTGCAAGTGCATAAGTAATGTTATAACGTCTTATAAGCGAGTGCCGACCGCGTGGGCGCGTCGGTTTAAACGCGCATTACTAGGTATTATTTTATAAAAAGCGACAACACTTTCATTGTTTTTCATCGACCGAGTGTCAAGTTACCCGAGACGTACCAGATGAAAAATACAACAACATGCAATTTTTCTAAACAACCCATAAGAAATACAGGCAACTTTTCCAATTCCTAGTCGGAAAATAATAATAATAATATGTGAAGTTGTATAAAAGTTATAACTTATAAATCGACCAAGCATGCCGTTAATTGGCCTTGGACGATTTGCGCACGTTGCCCAATGGTTTTTCCTCTCAAAAAACAAAAAGAAGTACAATGTTATTGTGCTATAGAAAACTATACGTAGAGGATTGGAATGAGCACGTTTTATAATTATTATTATCATTATTATTGTAACCATAACGTCGTCCCGGGCTAATGCACGGTGGTACTTAATTAATTGCCAGTGTTGCCTACCTATTACCGGTGGATAATAATATCCACTAGTGGGGGGTACCTACTATTCCAACAGCCGTGCTATGAACAACACGACAACATTATAATAACGTACTATGTGTAATTGTAAAACGCGTTGTTGTTTTTGTTTTCGGGCTCGGCATTTTTCCATACCCGAAAAATAAGCATCGGACTGCGAATTAAGAAATCACTATACTCCAAACGAGTATAATAATTATTATTATGTGCTGTTCGCCCCTTCCTGTCTTCGGTCCGCGCACCGTCGTCTCGGTTCGATCGCTTTTTTTATGCACATTCCTCGCAGTATGAATGAACTCGACGAAATGCAAACGAACCGACCGTCCCCGGTATCCTCTCTCTTGCACGATCCCAATACTCGAAAACATCTTGGCACTTTCCCATCAACCGACACTATAATAGAGTGTAGTGAGTAATGATAATAATATATGATGGGGTGGACTATGGCAACTTGGAATTATTATAAATAATGATAATATTTTCTTCTTTTAGGAACATGAAATAACATTTTATATTGGTGATATAATTGACTGAACATTTGTTTTATCACCTGTGGCTCAACTAATGTACCAATAAATGTAAAATTTTATCAACATTTTCATAATTTTTTTTTTTTTACAAACTCCATGTTTGGCCTCATGTATTTCTGCGCATTTTAGTTTTATTCGAGCTCGAAAAATGTTATAATAACTTTTTAGTAATAGCTTTGTAGTTGTCCAAGTAATTCTTAGCGTAATATGCAGTGCCGTTATAATGTAGTCAGTACCGATAATGAGAAAGTACCAACTAACCTATCGTCCGTCCGTAAGCTCTGTAGCTGGCGAGTAGGAGGGAAATACACAGGGGAAAATAAATATTATATTAATAAACCGTTATGTAATATATACACTCGTGTGTCTCTGAACAACAAAACACAATAGACCTCGGTCAACGCAGCAATAATGACCATGCAACTCGCGCCAAACTTGACACATACCTTCGTTTACTTCACACATTGTTTCGATTGCATCCTTGGAGCGCCGTCATTATTTCGCGTATCATTATTTGCACGAACTGTCTAGACTTTTCTTGCTCTCTCTCTCTCTCTCTTCAACGTCCATCTACACCACCGCCGTTAATAATACTTATAAAAAAATACTCTTGAAGAAACGGTAAACTTGAAGGAAAAAAGTACATCGACCTTATTATATTGGGGTTTCCGGATTTGAAAAAAGCTCATGTGCAATCGCAGGTACGGGTCGTGGTATTTGCCGGAGAGTAAGCACTACTGCTTCTAGCTGTGTAAGGCGCATGCCGGTCACACTGCGAGTCGACGCTTTGCTTATGATAATAATAATAATATTATTATATATTATGCAATTGTGCGCGATCGCGACCAGAACCCAGAGAAACCCAACAACCGGCGAACCGGTTTCGGACAATGTCCGGAATGCGCCGAAGACCTCGTGTCTTGTCTCTGTTTATTCTCATCTCGCTCTCTCGTGTACCCCCGTCGCCGGCCGTTCGCCTTCTTCTCGACCGGCCGGGCTAATATTCCGAATAATAATCATATTATTATTATTATTATGTACGACGGTCAGCAGTGGCGATGGGCGTGACCCCGGGAGGAGGAAATCCAGTAGCACGAACACATAAATCATTTGGGGTACGGATCGTTAGGTCGGAATCTGCGGCGGCGGAGTGTACGAAAAGCAACAGAAAATATGGCGTTTTAGTAGTTAAAATATCTTAATGGCGCACAATAATAATACTGATAACACAATAGTACGAAACCGGCGGCCGTACGTAATGAAGATGGTCGTTCCAAGACAATTTGGTATCCCCAAGAACTCGGTACTCGAGACCTCGCCTATTTCTTGAACGCAGTCGTCATCCCGTTCACGATCGTCGGTATACAATCTTTGTGGTCGAGTTTAAACGACAAATTTCAAACATGTTTGGCAATCACATCGATTGACATGAATTGGGGGAAGGGTTATTATGTCTGGACTTTATGGCTCACAAAAACCTCTATATTTTAAGGGGCTCCTGTTGCCAAGTTAACGAGCCGACTGCACCAGTAACAGCAGTATTGTCGTGATACTTGTTATCGAATCTTGTAACGACCCTCTAAAGAATTTCTGATGTGTGACCTGCGAGCTACTCGTAGTTAAACCATATAAATCACCTGAGCAGCACTTCTGCAATCTGGCAATCCAGAGCTGAGAGGCGAATGCTGATTTCTTCCGTTGGAATTGCATGTACCGATAGAGTTGCAAATCTATTCGTCCGAGAATGGAGGAGGAACTGCCGTTGCTATAATATTATAAGTGTAGGTAGATTAAAAACCGTAATTCGACTGTATATCGAGTGACAAAGCGTTTTAAACAATTTGACTGCATTGAACCGGGCTGTATAGTTGTATACGAACTAAACCGGTTCTCCTAGCGCGCAACACCAATACAATATTATAATATGCTATGTGCGGTTCTGTCATTATATATATATATTTATATATGTACGTACATTTGTGTATTTGAACCTATTTTATCTTGAGTCACTCGGAAAAACTATTTGCGTGTAACTATACCACGGCCGTTCGACATAAGACATCATCTGGACGTTAACTAACAACGTCGTAAATCATATAACGAATGGTTTTGAAAACGAAAATCGTATTGGATTTCATTTGTAAGTCGGTACCGGCAGTACATAATATATATACACCTCTACTAAAGACATTTTCGCACGGTACAATTGCGCATTAGATTAATATTATTATGTGTTGGTATCCCCCTTCAGCGTTGTTTAAGCGACACGGTGGAATAATTATTTGTTTTTTTTTTTTTGCCGAACCTTATATCAATGTAATCGCATTTTTAATACTAAACTTTAATTAAAAACGTACAAAAAGCTAATTAAACGAATTACACGAGCCGCATACCCGAGGTGTAATTAATTGTCACCCGGCCTCATAGTTCGTATGAATTGGATGGACGAGATATCTATTGTGTGAGGTTCGGAACATAATTAACAACAAGGTTTTTTTAATTTTGTGTCGTCGACAATTAAAGCCGTGTTAAAAAAAAATAACACAATTAAAATAGCGTCATCGTCTATTCGAACTGAAATTATAATTATAATTATTATTAAATTACCTACATGGAATTCTTTCTTGTTTGGAATTTACACGATTTAACGACACTGTATTATTTTTGTAACAGGATACGAAACGATGGATCGTTCTCTAAGGCCAACTGTTCTTCCGTGGCCACCATTAGAGAAATTCCAAGTACCAAGAAGCAAAGTCATCATATCGACGGTAAACAATACATAAAGTCCGGTCAAACGGCAACAGCACGCATGACAGAAACCTGCGAGGGACACACGGCACGGAACAGGGCACCATTGCCACCCATCGAGGTGAGTCCAATAGCCATTCCGCCAAAATCATCTTGGCAAACATTTTTTTTTTGCAACTTAGCAAAAACGGGGGGATGAATTCGCGTATAGATCCTCTCAAAGAAAACCCAGTAGTGCAATGATATACAAGTACCCTGTTATTTGTTATAGATGTATTTCATTCGACTGAAGTATTGATTCTTTGATTGTAAGCTACCACATTACTTTGGGAATTCTTACGGTTAGAATAATTTTTTTGTTACGTTTGTGAACTGCAACTCTTGGGTTGGTATTACTAAAAAAACATTTTCTTTGCGTTATAAATACTGCACTAACGTCTTTGGCAGTTTCTCCGAAGCCTGGTGTTCGTCGACAAGACGATGACGAACCAGAACAAGAAAAAAATACCACCGGTGGGTGTTGCGCACAATGATTGTACCTAAAATAAAATTAAAAAAATCGTTATCAAGGACGAATTTGAGGTCGACGTAGTTCGAAGAATCGAATACATGAGGGTATTTTTTTTTATTTTTTTAGTCCACAGTTAGCACAAAACAGCTCCAAGAAACAATGTGTTTTCCATTATTATTATATATTATCAGACTACAATGTGATATGGCTTCGGCTATTAATTTTTTTTTCCATCTCGTGACAAGGTTAATCTTATCATTAATTCAAATACCTCTGAGCCGTACATAGCAAACGGCACGACAACTTTATGGTACCCGGTTACACAATAAAAGAAATGGGGTGTTTCTAGGTCAAGGATACCGGTGGACACGAAAAGTTCCCTTCCTGGCCAGCCACCACAGGCCCTAAGAGCAATGGAATGTCCTCCGTTACCGCCAGATCGTCAAAGTCCTGGGCCGAACAAACCAGTTACCCGAAGGAACAACCGCCGCCCATCGTCCGACCGTACCCCAAGAGGCTCTCCAACGGTCTGTACACGCAGCAAGTAAGTAAATCGTGCCACGTGCTCTTGTGGCCGCACAACATAATTATCATCCGTTCACCACCGTGTCCACCGTTGTTGTGTAACCGAGAAATGATTCTTGTCGGTCGCAAAGGGCGTTTCAGTCATTTTTCATCTTCTCTGTTTTATTTATCCATAAAACACTCCGTTCTTGCATATCATACATGTATTATATACATACCGTACTCTTGTCGGTTCGCAGTCTAAGTAGCCCGGTGAAAGTTAATAAAAAATAAATTAGAAGCGCTCGTCTTAACCCGATGGTGGTTTAACATAACAGTAAGATACATGGAGTTCCGACGTTTCTGTATCTGGGTCCGTCTATTTGTGATAGTTAATTGATTGCAATTATCAATTGACGATATCGAATCGTTATCCTTTCTTCGGCGGATTTCCCTACCGTTATTGTTATTGTTAGTACAATATTATAATAATAAAATATTCGAATGTGTGCGCATGCTGTTAGTGGGTAGGCGGAGACGGGTCACTGACTTTGGACATCTGCTTCACGCTTCGGTTCATGCAACGCCTTCTTCATCTGTTACACGAGACAAGCAAATCGATTGTGATAGTCGAGCCTATTTCGCGCTTATAAGTATTTATTAGCTACTTTAAACGTCGTATCGATTCGGGAGGGGGAAAAATGTAACTAAATTACATAACCGTGTGGAGATAAGCTCGTCGTGAGCCGAGTGGGTTGAAAACGTGTATGTTCGGATGCTCGAGGTCTTGAGTGTCCGGCAAACGTTTTTCCAGTTGGTTGGCGTCAGGTCTCGCGAACATACCGGCTTTAATTACTCATCATGTGTTCAGTGTAATTAGGTTAGGTTAGTAAACAGGAATTGTCCATCTGCTGAGAACTGTCTACTGACTGGCCCTTAGCTTGTGATTAAGTCAGGCAGAACAGCATCGACGTAGAACGATGTAGTATACGGTTGTCTACGGTTACGACGTAAGACGTGTAACAAAAACCTTTGCAAATCGTAGGACATCCGATGTACACTACTGTACAAGCAACCGCGTTTAATGCAACGCACTAATGATATAATGATGATGACATGACATCCGAACGACGCGCATTTTTGTGATTCTACCAACGTCGCTGCACTCGTAATGATTTTGACCCGTTATTATAGATCTGCAACGGAGTATAATTGGTCTCATTATAGTCGGTTTTAGAACGGGATTATAAGAGTGGGGGGAAGGGGAAGGAAAGGGAAGCGGCGTGACAAAGATACACGCGGTGCGATTCCCAGGATCTTTTTTCGTTTACGGTAGAACGAACGATGGGTTTTTACGGATTTGAAATTATTTCTAAGTCTATCGATTTTTTCCCCCCTGTTACGGCTTGTAGTGGACACAACCGTGTGTATGCGGTAGTCAAATGCACCGCCGAAATGCAGTTTACCTCGTCTGGTCGCTTGAATTTATCATCTTGTTAAATACCAGCAACCAGCAGCCCTGTACAGTGTTATACGGTGGTCGTATTCTTCGTTCACACTCTTAAGGAATTCCGGTGTAATACCCGTCCGTCCGTCCGTGTGCACAAACCGTGTCCAACGTTCGCCGCGAATCGATTTGTCATCAATCGGGCCGTTCACAAGAAGAATCAGGCGTGTCGGATACGAATAATAAGCGAAACACTTTCGGTGTTGGCGGCGGCGGCGCGCGCAGTATAAGTGTATGTTTGTTTAGACGAAACCGGTTTTTGGGTTTGAGACTTTTAGATAGAGATGCCGCCGAAGTTTTTGACCCCGCAAGCTATTGTTTGTGCTGTCGGCAAAGAGTAGATGGAATCGATTAGTGTGATCTTGTTTCGAACCAATCTAATAGACACGGATTTTTAATGACTGTTCACAGCTCAAAACAGTGATGGAACGGTGTGAAAAAGGAAAACAACTCGAACCGCTGGACAGACTGCGTTCGATGAGAACCAAATCTGCTTATGTCGTCGACAGACTGGCGGCCGACAAAAACTACTGTGTGCCATTGACGGAGGACCCAGACACGACTAAACCTCAACTGACCCAAGCACAGCTGGAAAAGTACTCTAGAGCTTACGACGACTCTCCGCACGTGAGTATCGTTCATACCGTTGAACAATGTAACCGATGTAAACCTTTTTTAACTATTGACCGTTATCCTTATTGTTGTGTAGCGAGAAACAGACGAGTATTCAAGCTGTTTCGACGGTAGCGACAGCATGTTGTCTAGTCATCTGACTAAAGAAGAGCTGGAACACTACACGCGAATCTACGAGGAAAAGTCCACTTCCCAGATAAGCCTGACCGAAAAAGTGGTACCTTCGCACCAACACCAAACGTCGTACGCTCAGAGCGAGGGATACCACAGCTACGTGTCCAGCACCGATTCCACATCAACCCCTTTCCTGGACAGGTATGGACAATACACATTTACTTGTCTGGAGTACATAAAAAATATTTTAATGACATTTTTTTTTTAGGCTCCGGAGAGAAAACGAATCTGTCGTAGTTGTCAGCAAGGAAAAGCCCTCTCAAGGCCGAGACTCCAGTGCCAGCTCGGGATCTTCTAGCGAGACATTAAAGTGGCATGGTTCCAACAGCGATTTGAGCACGGTGTCAAACGGTGGCCATCGAGTGACTACTCAGCTTATAGCGCACAGTGCTAAAGTGTCGGCTCCTCAAAGACACCACTCGGAATCCGTGCAAAGCGTCACAGAAAATTGGTCCGCAAGTCAAGACATCAGGAACAACAATCCGAGGAATCACAGAAAACTGTTCCCTGTCAGCACGTATACCGTTCAACCGGCCGTGGTCATGGACGAAAAAACGTCCCCTAAGTATGAACTTCTCGTGGCTATAAACACAGTTGAAAATTATTATAAATCCTAAACGCTAAAATACTCATAATTATTTAATTGAAAGTATATTTTTAAATTTGCACTTAAAAATTTCTATTTCTAATTAAAAAAATCTAAAAATAATTTATATATACAATATATATATATATATATATATATAATATTACATTAATTCTCAGCCGTGGATTTTGTTTTCAGTTATTATTACAAAGTCTTCTTTTTAATTTTATCTTATTTCTTCGGTCATACTAGAAAAAAAATGGTTTATAGTATAATTTTAATGTTTTTATATGAATTTTACCAAGATTGGTTTAAGTTTTATGGCGTAGCATAAGTAATATTTCCATTTTCTCAATTCTACGCAGCTCAAAACGTACTACAGTTATTTTCATATTTTTCAAAATATATAAATTATTTTCGTACCTATAGTCTTCTATATACGCAAAAGTTAAGTGCAAGTTGAAATGAAAAAATGTGGCAAATTTTTCATAGTGTAACATAAGTTATCGCCGTGTAAAACGTTTTTATAAACATTTTTTTTATTTACCTATAACATTGCTTTTTACGGGTAGGGATTACTCAATTTTGAAGAGAGGAAATGGTTAAATGTTTTCATCTTTTAATTAATCTTCCGATTTGCCTAATAACTGTAAATTATTATGCGCTTATATTATACTTACAGAATTAATAGCTCACTATATTTTTTTTTTATAGCATTATGATTTCGTTCTTATTTAATTGACAGTTGTGGATTTATCTAATATTGATATTTATGTCATCAGGTCTCCACCGGCCTTGAGCGTAGCAGAGCGAATTAACGAATTAGAAAAGCAGCAACAGCAAGCTTCCAGCAAGTTAATGTACTTCGACCCGGAGAAAAAACATAAAGTTCCTGATCACTCGTTAAGGGCGATACAGAAAAGAGCTTTGTTGTCGTTCTACGAGAGACACCAGTCTGGATCTTCGTGGAGATCTGAGCCCCAATTATCGCCACCTCCCAGGCCACCGCCAATACCATCCAGGCCCAGACTACCGACTCCACTATCCAGACGTTCATCGATTTCTTCGGAATACGATTCGCCCACGACTTGGAACGATGTAAGTATTTGTATCATAATAAATTACTTAACCTAACTTTGTATCGTTATCGTAGGAATGCTCCAAGGACGACAGTTCAACCGACGATATTAAAGGCAACAACAACTGCAAAGAACTCAACAAAAGTCAACATAGAAGGTACACATTCATACGATTTCAACACATAAACCAAAAACCCACATAATAATGGCTATAGTGTTATTTTTTAAATATTATTATAATGGGATTCAATAATAGAATTCTTAAATAGTCTCAATTATTGTACAATGTTATTTATTTTATCAAAGGAAAATATTGTGCACAATTTACCAAAGTAAATTGTATGTCTCCATTTTAATGACAACTATTTTCAGACAGAATAAGATAAAATTATAGTTACAAAATATCGAGAACAATACAAAGTTTAAATTATTTTAATGATATTTTTAGTATCAAAATTTAAATTACGGTATATTTGTTTCAAAATAAAAATTGTAATATAAATAATTTTAATAACACAAAATAATAAGATATAATACTTATATCGTCTGAAAAATAATTAAAACGTCCATTAAAGGTCATATAACTTAATTTTTTTATGACCCTACTTATTACAGATATATCTTTAAAATTGGTTTATAAATATGAATGATAACATAAATTTCTTTTCTTAATAATATTAAAATCGTCTGTTGTTAAATAATATAAATTTAATCACATTTGTTAACCCGAGTGAAATGGAACAAGCGCCCGCTTTAGAACATTTCATTTTTATTTACTATATTTTTTATTGAACATTTTATTTTTATCTAAATTGTTTCGCTGGAAAATAAACATTCTATTTAGTCTGGGCTGTCACCAGGTAGGTACTAAAAACATTTTTCTGAAAAATAAGTTTAACGGCGGTAGGTATAGGCAAAACATTATACACATATAAAGTGTTTTTTTGCGATTTTTAATGTATAAAAATCCATTTTTTAAGAGCATTTAATTTATTTAAGTACTGTAAATAAGAATAATATTTTAAGTTAAAACAAAATAATAGAAAAAAAATAGAAAGCTGTCTTCGTAAAAACAATAAGAAGTTTTGCTACTATTTGAGGGGCCTTCACACGAGTATTTAACTTAACAAGCTAAAATGTTGATACATATAGTTTACACGCTTTTCAGAGTAAGCTTAAAACTGGAACGAGTTTGTTTAGGTAAAATATTCGCAGGTGTAAATGCCCCTTAGACCCATAAATAAACCATTTCCATTATAACCGTGATCACATTTTTTGTTCTTTGAATAAGTTAAGTATATGAATTGAGCTGTACAACTATTTTTTTTAGAATAACTACACAACTACAGTTAACGTATTATTACTTTATTAAAGAAAATTTTTACAATGCCAGTTACTACCGACTTATTTTTAACCGAGAATCCAACAAACCTTACTGGTGGATAATTTCAAGAAAATATAACTAGATGTCAACAATCTTTTTCCACACAAATTTTATGATAACACATGTTTTAAGAGCGATGTTGATGTTGTATAAATTACTAATGTTGTGTATTTTTTTCAGCTCTAGCTGTGGTTCATTATCAACCGCAATATTAGGTCCTATGGTTCTGGGGCCTTCAATATCCATCGATGATTGGGTACCAGAGTTGCCACCCAAAAAGAAATCACTGCAACCCGTTCGACAAACTCCGGTGAAACGAGAATCCAGCCCGGATTTGCCACCACCGCCCCCTATGGTCGAAGAAGAGTTGTTTGTCTCTGATGAACCCCTCCCACCTCCTCCGCCCGAAGCGATATGGCCCAAGTCGGAAGCCCTAAAAAACGACAAGTTCTTGAGGAACGGCAAAGAGAAGAGATTGGAGAGCAGTTTTAGCGCCGTCGAAGATGTTCTCAGGGAAAACAATCTGGACGAATTTCCCGACTACCGAGACCACCATATGAGTGAAAAATCAAAATCGCTGTCTTACATTTTTGACAGTACCCCTAAAGCCATGCCACAGACTCCGGTCAAGACGTCTGCGGCCGAGATGCACGTCAACGGCAACGCGGACGAAAAACCTAAGGAATTCGGTCGGTCGTCGAGCGTGCGAAAGAACAAGCTGACCATACCCAACAAGGAATACTGCAGGTCCGAGTTCTCCGCCAGGAAATCCGTCTTCCAAGGCGGTTCGGTACCTAAACAAGTGGTCATGTCGACGATTAAGCCGCCGGCGTTCAGTGCGACCACCGTCCAGAATAACGTGGTCAAGCATCAAATATGTACCCCGCTGAAAATTGCCAGAGACATTGACAAAAAAGCTAGATCCCCGTCCGCCAAGAACGTCGTCGGACCCATTAAGACTTCCGGTGTGTTCCCGCCGTCTTTGGAACCCAGTTGCCCACCGACTCTCTACCAACAGTGAGTAATTCAATTTTTTACTTGAAAAGCGCTTTAAAAAAACATTGCATTCCCTTACATGACATTTAAACGAGAAGCGGGCAGTAGAAAAAAACCTAAAAGTTTCATACGTGATGGAAAATTATATTTTATCGGGCCAATAATGTTGATACAACTTAAACTTTGTTATATTTACACTCCGTTCGAGCTTAATTGCTCAATTTTTATTCATTAAAGTTATAGTTCACGTGTGCACTCAGTGTTTCTATATGCCTGCGTTTCCTTTCGAGTGTGTGCATAATTAAGCTTTAGGGCAAACAAGAGGCAGATAAGACCGAACAGGCCCCGATTGTCTCGAGACAACAGCCTAATATTATATTATACAAATATTACTCGAGTCTTAATAGCCGCGAGAACAATTCAGGTCAAGGAAAGTATTACGTTCGTCTCCCTACCCTTGGCCCGGATCGGCCAATTGATATTATTATATTTTAATTATAAAACCTATGTAAACAATGGTCGGGTTTCCGCTTGCGGAGCAAAAACCACAAAATTGTATGACAAAAGCAATATAACTGCATACGATATATTATGTTGTTCAACCTGGTTACGTCAACGATACTACCAGATTGTATTTACTATACTGTTATTATTATATTATCGAACTAACTGTCTCTGAATGTTTGATACCTACCTAATTGTTCGTTAAATAGTTACACGTGCATTTTTTCCAATCTCGTTTAAATTCGTTTCTCTTTATTAGCTTTTATCCGATGAAATATTCGTTGGGTTTCTTAAATACTCCTGTCTTGTTTCGTCTCTATTATTCCGTTCGATTGTTTTAATAATTGCCCGTCTAATAGTCATAATTATTAGTAGTAATGAGTATTGTTTTTGTTTTCATTGTGACGTCCGCATTTTTTTTTATCGTTCCACTCTGAACGAAATCAGCGGTGGCATTATATCAAAACCAGGACACTATTATAAAGACTATGATAATAATTACTTTGGTAATTTGACGTCGATAGAGTTTGTATTCAAATTGGTAGTCGAATAATTATTGTATTCTTATAGGTAAAAAATAATATGCCGGTGTGTACGTTATTTCATTTAACGTCGTCTCGGTTTTAATGGTAGACACTGATTCTTGTTCACCCAAATAATAATAATAATAATATAGGATAAACCGATTTCCTGTTATTAATTATCATCGCTAACCACGGTGTATGTACCACCATAATAATAATACGGTCATATTATTATAATTATTAATATATTATGAACTGTTATCCGGTTCCGGAGGAACAATGCGTTCTAGGATATCGCACGATCATCGGCGGTGACGGGAATTAAAGTGTAATGGAAAGAAAAAAAAACAGCATTTAAGGTGTGCGGTCGGTGAAAGCCTATTGAACTCGACCTCAAAAATAGTTAAGATGATTGGCAAAAGAAAAAACCGTCTGAGGAAGTACAAAACTATTTCGGCTCCGCCGTCATGATGTCAATTGACCAAATACACATTATGTTGATGGAAACTGGTCCGGTGGCGGCTGACCAAGTCGCGGTTGTCAGTGAATGTGAGCTCATTAGCGGGTTTTAACGTTGTTGCAAATGAAAGCCCATTTGCGGGTGACGTAGGTACACGTGTTGTGCATAACGAGGGCTAGGGCTCGACATGCGACGGCTAGAAAGTGCGAGTGTCATAGTAATTTGACTACAAAACATTTTTGGATATTGCTGCCTACATTTGACATATCATTGTACAAATGGTTCTCGTACGAGTCCTACGAATACATCACGTCTAGAGACGGATTACGGTAAGCTCTCTGCTGATCTAACTATTTATGAGAGATTAAATGATAAATTCGTATGAGATTTGACAGCTTTCTTACTGGCGATCGTGTGGGTGTGTCCGCCGAGTTTGTGTAACATAATACTACTCTCTGGTGATTTCAATATGAGCGATCTGAACCCCACGAAAGATATGTCCATGGTTTGGACGGTCGATCTAGCCGATAAAGTACACGGTGTTGAAATAAAGCTCTTTTACCGGTGAAACGTAAAATGCATTGTGAAAATTTAAAAAAAAAGCTGTAATAATAATAACCAACTTGTTATTTTGACAATGGTAGAAGGCGCCATTATCGGTCGGTTCAATCTAAATTTGTGGAAATGGTAGTCATTGTCAGGTTAGCGTGTGTGTGTGTAATTTTTGATCCGGACAAATTCAATTAACAGAGCACAATGAACTTATATAGTTGGATTTCACAACATCTTGCGTTTATACTAGACATTGTAAATAATTGGTTTTTATTATTTCTCTCTCTCTCTCTTGCGCGCGCGCGCGCTACTTAATATCCTTCAGCCCGGCGTATACCTTAAGCCGCCGCCGTTAAGGATTGCATCTCATGACTTTGGCGACCCATTATGTTCCCGTATAATAATGGATAAATACATACGCACGCTGCGGATCCAGAGTTGTTCGACTACAACAACAACAAAAAGGGTGAAAGTGTCACAGTGAGAGTGTCAATGGATTTACAGTACACACACACACACCACAAGGGGCGGCACACGAACAATGTCTCGACAAGTACAACGTATAGCCCATAACGCTCACGCCCACATTTGACATCATTTATATAGTGTTTCGTCCGTTGCAGCAATATTGTTATTAGCTATCACCGAAATTCTAGTCCGGGATGACACGGGGAAGATACTTATCATTTATTCTGTGATCGGATTATGTACCAAAAGCAATTCAAACTGTTTTGATTTGTTGTTAAGCTATCGTTTCACGTTGTTCGGACGTTGTCGAACGATGCCGTCGCGTCGTTTGGGTGTTCTCATTACCAAACGCATAGGAGAATGGCGGCGATAGTTTGTATATAGTAGAGAAATAAAAACCCAAGTAATTCCTTTTGGTAACTATACAACGGCGATGGCCATTATTCGGTTCATTGTCTGGCATCCGTTTAGTTGAAATTCGCGCCGGACGTTTGTCTTCCATGTACACGGCAAACCGAAGATCCACGAGCAATCTTTTCCGGGTCGTTGCCGGCACTACGCGGACTGACACAAATTATTTTCGCTAGCCATTTTGTTGTTCTGTACCTATGTATAATAATTATACAGGGTGCGCTGTAACACAAACGCGACCATCGAGTTGTAGGCGTAAGTAATTTGTTCAATTTGCCAACGTCGGCGAGAAGACACTGGATGGCTCACCGGGGACCGTTATGGCGGTCATACCATTTGCACGTAACTTCCATTCAAACTGGATTTACGCCGCAGAATCGACGGTACCTATTATTTTTCTATTGCTTTATAGAAAGTAGATCCGATGCTCAGACACGAGACCTATACATATGCACGCTGGCCTGGCGCCGCAGCATCTTCCAATAGCCCCGATTGTTATCACGGATTACTTTCTTATCTATATGATTGATATTAAACCTCGGAAGTTGATGACCTAAATATCGTAGTAAAAACAATAAACGTATCGCCTATTTAATTTGCAGTGGCAACATTGACACTCTCTGCAAAACAACGTCTTATCTTTGCATTTTTTTAACTTTTACGACTTTTTAACATTTTAGAAAAAAAATCACAATAATTTTCTTTGGCCGTTTCGAACTGATGTCTGCTAATTGATTGAGACTTATCGATACGTCATATGTCTTTTGCCCATACGAGATTGTTCAATGATGTCAAGTTACTGTTTGTTTTCTTTCGGCATGGCCATTTTTGACTATTATAAAAAGGTCGTCATGCACAACAACTGGAGCAAATCCGACAACACGACAACCACCGCGATAATAAAACAGCAAGAACAGCATAAAAAAAAAGGCGACGATTTTCGTGTCATGTGAGAGTACTGAGGGTACTTATAAAATACACTTAACTCCGGCGCCGAAAAACGAGAATACGCGATATTTCCCCGTACTTAGGCACGATTCCGTGTTCGACCTGCGATTGTATCAGCTGCTGGCTGTGTGTAACCAAAGCGAAGATTTCCGATGGATATTATCGCCACGTTTTTGTTCTACTCTTACTAAAGATTTGTGTCGTTAATCCACGAAACCATAGCCTATTAGTACACATAATAATAATAACAACAACAACGATGGGTTATATCGAATGACAAAATCGCCAAAATAATATAATATGTATTCCTTTCACGTTTTTTTTTAAACTGTTTTAATTTCGTCCTGCGCGCATTTTTTTCCGTCTTACATTATTCCTCGATGCTTCTCGAGTCGTAAATCGCGTTTTCGTTATCACCGCGACCCATATTGCTATAGTATGGCACGTGTTCCCCATCGTACTTGTATAATTTTATATACTGTCTTATTGTTATATTTCTCACTTTAACCAAAATATAATGTCCGGCCGTCTCCGCGAGAATACCAAGAATATTACCATACTCGGTAACAACGCATAATCAATTAGTGACATACTACACTGTGCCCCATCCCTTAAAATACTCACAAACACACGCCTTAATAAACATTTTTTGTGTCAACAAATATAATTAGTAATACATACACAGTACACACACATAGGCGCGCAATCATATTGTGGGCATTTTTAAAAATTTTGTACTTTTGTTATTATAAACCTCCCCACCCCCCTTCTTGTTTTTTTTCTAATATTATTATTATTATTGTGTATGAAAAACGATAATGTAAACAGAGAAAGAAAGAGAGAGAGAGTGAAACAAAACGTTTCAATGTACACATTAATACATATCATTAAAAAAAAAAATAAGCATCCTTTTTGTGTACTGACGTCGACTTCCTTGTGTGTGACTCGACGTGTGAAACGATGATCGCGTTTACTTGCAGTCAAGTCCTGGCAACTCGTCATCCGGTAACCGTCTATGTAGTACCTAATAATATGTCGTCCCAATACAGTCGTGAGTGTCGTTGTATTATCATCGCCAACGAATTAGCATGATTATTCTTCAGAGAACTCTTTATGCATATATACCGCACAAGTGCTTCGACTTCACACACACT